GATATGCATCTGTTTTGCCTTCTTTCTCTGCGAAAGATGCGTGAGTTTACTGCTTGAGAGCTACTTGAGTATTTCTGACACTAGCGAGACTTTTGTGATATGCATCTGTTTTGCCTTCTTTCTCTGTGAAAGCTTCTTGAGTTTACTGCTTGAGAGCTACTTGAGTATTTCTGACACAAGTGAGATATTTGTGATATGCATCTGTTTTGCCTTCTTTCTCTGTGAAAGCTGCGTGAGTTTACTGCTTGAGAGCTACGTGAGTATTTCTGACACAAATGAGATATTTTTGATTTGCTGCTGTTTTGCCTTCTTTCTCTGTGAAAGCTGCGTGAGTTTACTGCTTGAGAGCTACTTGAGTATTTCTGACACACGTGAGACATTTGTGATATGCATCTGTTTTGCTTTCTTTCTCTGTGAAAGCTGCGTGAGTTTACTGCTTGAGAGCTACTTGAGTATTTCTGACACAAGTGAGATATTTTTTTGATATGCATCAGTGTTGCCTTCTTTCTCTGTGAAAGCTGCGTGAGTTTACTGCTTGAGAACCACGGGAGTATTTCTGACACAAGTGAGACATTTGTGATATGCTGCTGTTTTGCTTTCTTTCTCTGTGAAAGCTGCGTGAGTTTACTGCTTGAGAGCTACTTGAGTATTTCTGACACTAGCGAGACTTTTGTGATATGCATCTGTTTTGCCTTCTTTCTCTGTGAAAGCTTCTTGAGTTTACTGCTTGAGAGCTACTTGAGTATTTCTGACACAAGTGAGATATTTTTTGATATGCTGCTGTTTTGCCTTCTTTCTCTGTGAAAGCTGCGTGAGTTTACTGCTTGAGAGCAACTTGAGTATTTCTGACACAAGGGAGATTTTTTTGATATGCTGCTGTTTTTTTTCTTTCTTTCTCTGTGAAAGCTGCGTGAGTTTACTGCTTGAGAGCTACTTGAGTATTTCTGACACAAGTGAGACATTTGTAATATGCATAGCTGCGTGAGTTTACTGCTTGAGAGCTGCTTGAGTATTTCTGACACAAGTGCGATATTCTTGATTTGCTGCTGTTTTGCCTTCTTTCTCTGTGAAAGCTGCGTGAGTTTACTGCTTGAGAGCTACTTGAGTATTTCTGACACAAGCGAGACATTTGTGATATGCATCTGTTTTGCCTTCTTTCTCTGTGAAAGCTGCGTGAGTTTACTGCTTGAGAGCTACTTGAGTATTTCTGACACTAGCGAGACTTTTGTGATATGCATCTGTTTTGCCTTCTTTCTCTGTGAAAGCTTCTTGAGTTTACTGCTTGAGAGCTACTTGAGTATTTCTGACACAAGTGAGATATTTTTGATTTGCTGCTGTTTTGCCTTCTTTCTCTGTGAAAGCTGCGTGAGTTTACTGCTTGAGAGCTACTTAAGTATTTCTGACACAAGTGAAACATTTGTGATATGCATCTGTTTTGCCTTCTTTCTCTGTGAAAGCTGCGCGAGTTTACTGCTTGAGAGCTACTTGAGTATTTCTGACACAAGCGAGACATTTGTGATATGCATCTGTTTTGCCTTCTTTCTCTGTGAAAGCTGCGTGAGTTTACTGCTTTAGAGCTACTCCAGTATTTCTGACACAAGTGAGATATTTTTGATATGCATTTGTTTTGCCTTCAACTCTGTGAAAGCTGCTTGAGCTTAATGCTTGAGAGCTACTTGAGTATTTCTGACACAAGTGAGATATTTGTGATATGCTGCTGCTTTGCCTTCTTTCTCTGTGAAAGCTGCGTGAGTCTACTGCTTGAGAGCTACTTGAATGTTTCTGAGAGAAGTGAGATACTTTTGATATGCTGCTGTTTTGCCTTCTTTTTCGGCGAAAGCTGCGTGAGTTTACTGCTTGAGAGCTACTTGAACATTTCTGACACAAGCTTTCTCTGTGAAATCTGCGTGAGTTTACTGCTTGAGAGCTACTTGAGTATTTCTGACACAAGTGCGATATTTTTTGATATGGATCTGTGCTGCCGTCTTTCTCTGTGAAAGCTGCTTGAGTTTACTGCTTGAGAGCTGCTTGAGTATTTCTGACACAAGTGAGATATTTTCGATTTGCTGCTGTTTTGCCTTCTTTCTCTGTGAAAGCTGCGTGAGTTTACTGCTTGAGAGCGACTTGAATATTTCTGACACAAGGGAAATATTTTTGATATGCTGCTGTTTTGCCTTCTTTCTCTGTAAAAGCTGCGTGGGTTTACTGCTTGAGAGCTACTTGAGTATTTCTGACACAAGTGAGACATTTGTAATATGCATCTGTTTTGCCTTCTTTCTCTGTGAAAGCTGCGTGAGTTTACTGCTTGAGAGCTACTTGAGTATTTCTGACACAAGTGAGATATTTTTGATATGCATCTGTTTTGCCTTCTTTCTTTGGGAAAGCTGCGTGAGTTTACTGCTTGAGAGCTGCCTGAGTATTTCTGACACAAGTGAGATATTTTTGATTTGCTGCTGTTTTGCTTTCTTTCTCTGTGAAAGCTGCGTGGGTTTACTGCTTGAGAGCTACTTGAGTATTTCTGACACAAGTGAGATATTTTTGATATGCTGCTGTTTTGCTTTCTTTCTCTGTGAAAGCTGCGTGAGTTTACTGCTTGAGAGCTACTTGAGTATTCCTGACACAAGCGAGACATTTGTGATATGCATCTGTTTTGCCTTCTTTCTCTGTGAAAGCTGCGTGAGTTTACTGCTTGAGAGCTACTTGAGTATTTCTGACACAAGTGCGATATTTTTGTGATATGCATCTGTTTTGCCTTCTTTCTCTGTGAAAGCTGCGTGGGTTTACTGCTTTAGAGCTACTCGAGTATTTCCGACACAAGTGCGATATTTTTGATCTGCTTCTGTTTCGCCTTCTTTTCTCTGAAAGCTGCGTGTGTTTACTGCTTTAAAACTACTTGAGTATTTCTGACACAAGTGAGATATTTTTGATTTGCTGCTGTTTTGCCTTCTTCCTTTGTGAAAGCTGCTTGAGCTTACTGCTTGAGAGCTACTTGAGTATTTCTGACACAAGTGAGATATTTTTGATATGCATCTGTTTTGCCTTCTTTCTCTGTGAAAGCTGCTTGAGCTTACTGCTTGAGAGCTACTTGAGTATTTCTGACACAAGTGAGATATTTGTGATTTGCTGCTGTTTTGCCTTCTTTTTCGGCGAAAGCTGCGTGAGTCTACTGCTTGAGAGCTACTTGAACATTTCTGACACAAGTGAGACATTTGTGATATGCATCTGTTTTGTCTCTTTCTCTGTGCAAGCTGCGTGAGTTTGCTGCTTGAAAGCTACCTGAATATGTCTGACACTAGCGAGACATTTGTGATATGCATCTGTTTTGCCTTCTTTCTCTGTGAAAGCTGCGTGAGTTTACTGCTTGAGAGCTACGTGAGTATTTCTGACACAAATGAGATATTTTTGATTTGCTGCTGTTTTGCCTTCTTTCTCTGTGAAAGCTGCGTGAGTTTACTGCTTGAGAGCTACTTGAGTATTTCTGACACAAGTGAGACATTTGTAATATGCATCTGTTTTGCCTTCTTTCTCTGTGAAAGCTGCGTGAGTTTACTGCTTGAGAGCTACTTGAGTATTTCTGACACATGTGAGATATTTGTGATATGCTTCTGTTTTGTCTTCTTTCTCTGTGAAAGCTGCGTGAGTTTACTGCTTGAGAACCACGGGAGTATTTCTGACACAAGTGAGACATTTGTGATATGCTGCTGTTTTGCTTTCTTTCTCTGTGAAAGCTGCGTGAGTTTACTGCTTGAGAGCTACTTGAGTATTTCTGACACTAGCGAGACTTTTGTGATATGCATCTGTTTTGCCTTCTTTCTCTGTGAAAGCTTCTTGAGTTTACTGCTTGAGAGCTACTTGAGTATTTCTGACACAAGTGAGATATTTTCGATTTGCTGCTGTTTTGCTTTCTTTCTCTGTGAAAGCTGCGTGAGTTTACTGCTTGAGAGCTACTTGAGTATTCCTGACACAAGCGAGACATTTGTGATATGCATCTGTTTTGCCTTCTTTCTCTGTGAAAGCTGCGTGAGTTTACTGCTTGAGAGCTGCTTGAGTATTTCTGACACAAGTGAGATATTTTTGATTTGCTGCTGTTTTGCCTTCTTTCTCTGTGAAAGCTGCGTGAGTTTACTGCTTGAGAGCTACTTGAGTATTTCTAACACAAGTGAGTTTTTTTGATATGCATATGTTTTGCCTTCTTCTCTGTGAAAGCTGCGTGGGTTTACTGCTTGAGAGCTACTTGAGTATTTCTGACACAAGTGAGACATTTGTGATATGCATCTGTTTTGCCTTCTTTCTCTGTGAAAGCTGCGTGAGTTTATTGCTTGAGAGCTACTTGAGTATTTCTGACACTAGCGAGACTTTTGTGATATGCATCTGTTTTGCCTTCTTTCTCTGTGAAAGCTTCTTGAGTTTACTGCTTGAGGGCTACTTGAGTATTTCTGACACAAGTGAGATATTTTGCTTCTCTGTTTGCCCCGCCTCGTGCCTGGTGGTGGTGGGGCTGGCTGGTGGTTGCCTGTGGTTGCTGGGTTCTCTGTCGGGTTTGCCCTCGCTTGCCTGGCCTGCTCTGCTTGTCTCTCCGCTTCCTTCTGCTTGGCCTGGGTTGCGGTTGTTGCTGGTGTCTGGTGTTTCTTGGTCTTGCTCTCCCGCGCTCTCCTCTGCTCGCGGCTGTTCTCCGGTCTTTGCGTTCTCTTCGCGCCCTCGCGTTTCTGTTCTTGTCTCTGTGTCTGGTTTTAGTTATGATTTAAGTTTGAACGCATGATGGCCCTGATTTGGTGATTTGCTTTGGTTTTTTATTTCCACCTTTTTGGGTGATTTCTGTTTGAAGGGTTCAGTGAACATTTTCAGATGTCGTCAGTTCGCACCTCTTCGTGGATTTCAGTCAATCTCATTTGGAACATGTCAACATTCCTGAAGATTATTATGATGATTTTTTTTTGGGCTGAGCTTGAAAATTTTGAGTTAGATGGGGGCGCGTTGCCATCCCGAACGGGACGCCCGACATGGATTGGAAAGACCTGGATCAGATAGGCACCAGGTTCATTGCATATTTGGAGAAAGTTTTCAGAGAGCCACGTTTCTTGTTTGTTGCGTTAGAGACAGAAGATGATGCACAACGCATTTTGCAGGATGCTTGGGGTATCTCAGAGCTTGGGGCTGTAGGAGATGAGGCTGTACGCATTTTGATGCTCTGGAGGGATGCCATGGACGTTCCATTTAGGAGACAGACCCAACTGAGATGCACGAACAGTTTTTCCTTATTGCAGCCACCTGGTACCACAGCAGCACGGACTCTCCAAGACGAGTTCGAAAACGTGGTTCGTCAGGGACCTGGTTTTGTGCTTGACATGGTCAAACGTCAGCTGAAACGGAAACGAGATGCGAAGGGCACACAGAGAGCAGACATTGAAAGAGATCAGAGAGCGGTCTATGCACTTCAACTTGCAGAGGTGATCAGAGAGGCATACCTACCAGTTACACACCAAATTGAGGTTTTGGATGATCCCAATAAAGCCTGGGGTAGGATTTTTGGGAGCAGGCGCTCCAAAACTTTGAGAAACCGTTACAAAGCATGGCAACGTTTCAGAAGCTGGTTGGTGGCTTACTCAGGGGAAGTTTGGCCGAAAAGTTTAACACCTTTGATTTCATTTGTTGAAGAGCGCATTGATGATGGATGTTCTTTCACGTGTCCAAGTGAGCTCCATGCATCGCTCACGATCTTGGAACAGATTGGAAGGGTGCCGGATGAGAAGCGTTTTTCAAGCGACACTACTTGGCTCTCTCATTCGGCAAGTTGGAAACTCGAGTTGGAAACACATGCACGTGTCGACAAAGCAGCTAAGCCGTACACTGTCGCGATCTTAGCTTCACTGGAAATCTTTGTCATGGACTTGCAGCAGGACTTGTATGCTAGGTTCATTGCTTGGGTCATGTTGATTGCAAGCTGGACTTCACTCAGGGTTGATGACATTCAGAACTTGCTGCCAGAGACGCTTCGCCTTTCCCGCAGGGGATTCAGTGCGAGGTTGGCCAGGACGAAAACGAGTGGCCCCGGGAAGGTGCATAGACAGCTTCCAGTGTTCATACAAAGAGAGATCAGTTTGACAGGACATGATTGGCTTCAACTGGTTTTGGCTTTACACAGATGGACAGTTTCATTTATCCGCGGGACTACTTGGTGCCATATCACAATGAGCATTGGACAGCATTTTTTCCGAAGTTAGTGGAGCCTCCAAGCTTAGCCAATTTTATGAGGATAGTGTTGGGGCGGCTGGGAACTCCACGGTTTCAGGATGAGGTGTGGAGGGCCAACATGGCCATGTTGCTCGCCGCGGGAGAGATGCTTCTCTTTTGGGCTGGGCACAGCCCCAGACACTTCTTGACTCAGGCTGCTTTATCACTTGGGGTCACGAAGGAGAGACGTGACTACTTGGGAAGATGGTCAATAGGACGCGTCGGAAGTAATGCTTACATTCATTCAGCAAGACAGGTTGTAGAAGAGGTACAAGTAGAAGTTTTGCAGGCTCTCGTGAAAGGCACAGCTGTCATTGATGAGGGCGAACTTTTGGACGAGATTGCACAGTTTGCTGATGAGCATGGTTTGATTGGGCACCGCATCAAACGCAGACACACACAGCAGTTTAGACGTGACACGGCACTTGTGCTTCCTGAGGAAGAAGAGTCAGAGGCAGAGGAGGATGTGCCACCAGAAGGTGAGAGTGATGCCATTGTCTTGGAACCCAGGCCAGAGGCAGCTGGCAACTCAGACAGAGCAAAGTTCTTCGTAACTGTGTCACGGCGGGGGGGCATCAGGCGCTTGCATGCTCACCATAGATGTCCAGTCAAGTCAGAACGTTGCTTGGAAACTTATGACTTAGTTGATGTGGATGAGAATTCTTTTGATGTCATGTGCCGCATTTGCAAGAAACGATTGCAACAGGATGAGGGGGCACTAAAATCAGATAGCTCCAGCACGAGCGGAGACTCATCCTCAACGGATTCCGAGTAGAGCTCAGTGTGACGACTCCAGAAATGACATGGACAAAAAACCTTGCGCAGCTTCAGTTTGAGTTTGTCGATTCACATTTGTATGGCAGAACATGGTGCACTCCTTTTTCTTTCAGATTTGTTTCAAAAATGAGTGCAGAAACATGGACAAGTGTTTGGCTGCAAAGTTGAAGCAACTTGCAGGAATGGCATGAGCCATTCTAAGATTCAGTTTCAGATTCAGCGCCGAGACGGCTCAAGACAAACGACGATTGCAGGGCATTTACTGTTTTTCAGCTTGACACTCAGGTGACGTAGGACTTCAACATGCCATTGTGCTTGCATTTTACAGGACGCTTGTTTAGGTACTGCTTGATTTCATTAGGATAGTTGCAAGGTTTGGGATTCAGTTTCACTTGAACTTGTTTTACGGCATCTTGCCGCGAGACCTTGCCATGGCTGTGGACGATGCACAGCGACGGGATTTCCTTAGGAACCACGTCACCTCCGATCTGCAGTATGTGTGGGAAGACTCGCAAGTCAGTTTGGACATGCAATACAGAATGGCCCAGCATTACACTAGCTTGAGGGTTTTCATTGCGCTGGCAGAAACCGCAGCAGAGTTGAGGACAGCACTGCGGACGGACTTCCAGATGGACCCAACAGCAGGTGCCGAACAACGTGCTGAATTGGCACGGGTCGTTAGCTCATGGCTGACTGGCAGACAATTGTACGAAAAAGAGACGGAGCTTACAGCAGAGAGTAAAGTCATGGGTATGCCTCGGAACCTGCAGCACAGTGAAAGGCTTGCTATGGTTAAGGCAGTGGAGACAGTGTTAGGGGACCTTGCAGGGAACGACACACCATCTGCCGAGTATCTTGCACTCAAGGTTGAAGAATGCGAGAATGGAGAAATCACGGCTTCGACTTTGGACGAGGTAACTTCAAAGGCCCACAAGAATACGTCTTCTTTGCAGACTTCTTTGGATCCAGCAGGGCATGTCAGGGTAGTGAAGAACAAAACGAAAGGGGCTTTACCGGCCAACACAGAGGAGTACAGACAAGCCATGAAACTGGAATCCATCACGTGGATGTGCATGTCGGCCAAGTTCAAATCAAAGAGTTGGTTGTCTGACCTGAGGTTGGAACACTTCACCAAGTTCACTGAGTACATTTTGGGGGAACGTGTGCACTCCATCAAGATTCCAGTGGATGGGCAGAACATGGCGCTGAAGCCGCAATGGGCCCTGGTTTTACAGTACGAACATAGGTTAAGGAGAGAAGCTTGCAAGCTGGTGAACCGGGGCGAAGCAACTCTTGCGGAAGCACTTCAAAGAGTCATCAAGGATGCAGACCTCAAGGAATCCTTTTTCACCACACCGCTCGCCCTCACAGCGGCCGAGACCCCTGCAAAGTTTTCACGGTCCTCCTTTAAGGGATCTTCAGATAGCAACGACGATGCCACAGGGCGCGCAAAAGGAAGGGGCAAAAAGAAGTTTCAACCTTGGAAAGGACACGGAAAAGGTCAGAAAGGGCATTCTAAAGGCAAACATGGGGATTTACCCCTGGTGTCGCAGACGCCAGATGGACGCGACATATGCTTTGCATTTAACTCACAGTGGGCGATTGCATGTCTGCAGAGTCCGTGGTTGTTACGGCGACCATGCGGCCCGAGAGCACAGCAAAGTACAAACGGGCGGGGGTAAGAAAGAGTGACCCTCTAGGCCCTTGCAGCCCCGAAGTCAGTTACGGGTGCTGTATCTCTTTTGCGGCCACAAAAGAAAAGCTGACATCAAACATTTTTTGCATGAGTTTGGCAAATTGAGAGGTTTTGACTTGCATGTTAGGGAAGTTGACATTGAACGGAGCAATGAGGATGACCTACTCCAACAAGGTCTTTGGGAAGAGTTGTGGGCTGCTATTGACCAAGGTGAATGGGATGTGGTGCTTCTGACACCTCCTTGCAATACCTTTTCACGAGCACGTTGCAATAGGAATTCACCTGGACCAGGTCAGTTGAGGAATTTCCAACATCCATGGGGTTTTCCATGGCTGACTGGAGACAACTGGCAACTTTTGCAGGATCATAATTTTCTGATATTGCAGTGTTTCAAAACAATCGACAAATGCTATGCAGTGGGCACGGATTTTCTCTTCGAGCATCCTGAAGACTTAGGTTTGACCAAATCCGGCGAAACGCCAGCTAGTGTGTGGCAGTTGGAACAGATGCAGGCCTTGGTGACTATGAGAGGCGCCACAGCATTTGCTGTGTATCAATGTCAGTTTGGGGCGCAGTCACCAAAGCCCACCAGGTTTATGACTTCACTGCAGAAAGCCAAAAGTCTCCCTGCACAGGGATTGCCCACCTTTGACTCAAAACGTCATTACCTGGGACCATTGCCTAGGTCTTGCACACACAAGTACCATGTCAAAAAGTTGATTGGAAAAGAAGCTGGCAAGTGGCGCACCGCTGATTCAGCAGCATATCCTCCTCCTCTTTGCAAGTGGCTGGCTCAGCTCATCGTCTCTCGAGTGGGGGAGGCACGCTCTGAGCTGAGTGGTGGCAGAGTTACAGCAATGGCTGGACAGGCCACAGAGCTTTCAGTGGCACAGGGTCTTGCAGATGAGCCGGTCTCAGAAAGGATGCAGGTGATGGAAACTCAAAACCTTTGCAGGGTGAGGCACCAACAGAGAAGGTTGAGGCAGTGGTTGTCGAGGAGGTGGCTGACACAGGGGCTCCTAGCAAAACGAAGCAACAACAACTCCACCGGGCTCAACCACGCTCTTTGGAATGGGCAGGCAAACAGCGTGCTATGGTGGACGGATTTGGACTGTGTTCACCAACGTTGTGGCACCCTTCAGATAGGAATGCGTACATGGCTGACACGGCGCAGGCATTTTGCAGGCGTCTCTATGACATTTTGCAAACTGCAGTTTTGGAGAAATTTGACGACATCAGGTTGGAGGCGATCAAGCTTGGACTGGGCCGGATAGGATCATCGCCCTTTTCTGATGAGGAGCTCAATGCGCTGAGGGGGCGTTGGGCATCCCTATTGCCCTCAAGGGCCATGGCTTTGTGCGTACCGGAACGACAGCCTTTTTACCTGGGGCTGATTGGGCAGACACTGGAGCTCCTGAGTGATCCTGATTTTTCCATTTACATGGATGGCAAGGATTCATTTTGGAATGGGGTGCCGGTTGGCTTTGACGAGCCTTTACCCAGGGTGCCGGAGCTCTATCCCAGGAAAGAGAAGGTCAGGCCGTTAGATGATTCTGAGTACAACAACATGGCAACCAACTACAAGTCCGCCAGAGAGATGGCAGACGACTTGGAGAAAAAGTTCTGTGAAGAGGAACAGTTAGGGAGGATGATCCCGACCACCGTTGGAGAGATGAAATCAAAGTTTCCGCATAGGACTCCTTTGGTTGCAGCAATGGGCGCTTTGCGAAAGCCTAACGGCGATGTCCGACCTCTTCATGACGGGACGCATTACGTCCAACTGAATAATGCAATCTTGTTCCAGGACCAGCTCCAATATCCTGGTCCAGAGGATGCAGCTGGGATGGTGCGTAATGTGAAAGAAGAACAGGAGTCAGTTTATGCTTTGTCTGCGGACATTAAGGCCGCCCACCGTCTGGTGAAAATACGGGAGGAAGACTGGCCGCTTTTGGGTTGCAAAGTCAGGTCGGAGGACAAGACTGTTTGGATTAACACTGTTGGTACGTTTGGTATTTCCTCTGCTAGCTATTGGTGGTCACGTCTTTTCTCTGGGGTTGGTCGCGCGGTTGGATATCTGTTGAATCAGCAAGATTGGCATCAACTGGTCTGTGTGGACGACCTCCACCTTTCGTGTTTGGGGGTGCGCAAGTTTCTCAACCTCTGGATTGCAATCTTGATGTATGAGCTGATGGGAACCCCTTTTGCTTATGGCAAGTTCACCGGAGGCTTGCAGGTGCAATTCGTTGGATACCTGCTTGACTACAAGGAATGCTTCATTGGCATTACCAAGCGCCGTGGTGATTGGCTGATTCAGTTCATTGACGAGATGGCTCGGTCCAGGGGCACAATCTATTTACGCCGCTTCAACGAATTCTTGGGGCGACTTGGATTTGTGGCACGGGTCTTGATCTGGCTGAAGCCTTTCTTGGCTCCGCTGTATGCCTGGAGTGCAGCCATTGACAGGAGCACGGTGGCGACGGCCCCAAGGCTGGTGCTCCTGGTGCTCCAGTTCTTGAAAGTGCAGCTCACAGATTGCACCTACCTTCATTCTTGCGAACGGCCTCAGACTGCAGGGGGAGAAGTTTTTCGCACTCATGCAAAGTGTGAGGTTAACAGAGTAGTTTTGGGGGGACATCATTTGGAATCTGGCAAATGGTTTTCGCTGGAGGTGCTGCCCCACCAAGCGCCTTACTTGTTCAAGTCGGATGGCCAGTCGCAGTGGGCTTCCACGACTGCTGGGCTGCTGGCCGCATTGATTGCACTGCACTTGTTTGGCTATTTGGAAGTGGGGCGGCGTAACAACTTGCCTCCTCTCCACGTGGGCGCTGGCACAGACAATTTAGCAAACGAACACTTGCTGAAGAAGGGGCTCACGACCAAATGGCCTCTTTGCTTAGTGTTCATGCAACTCACTGAAGCACTCATGAGGGCGCATGTTCATGTCAGTCTGGATTGGCGACCACGAGACGAAAACTGTCTGGTGGATGCGCTGACCAACGGAGACTTCAGCGCGGTGGACCCGGGCAGCCGCATCTTTTGCGTCTGGGAGCAATTTGACTTCTCCTTGTTGCAGCGCCTTTGGGGAGAGCGGGAAATTTACTTGGACAAGGAGGCGCTGCGTGCCACAATGCACCACAGGAATCTTGGTGAATTTGAGAAGTCGGCTTGGTAAAAATGAATGGGAGGTGGTTTGCCTCAGAATCAGATTCAGTGTCAGCTTCAGTTTTTCGACAAGCCCTCGCCAAGGGGAGGGGGGCTTTACACTCGGCCTTGTCTGGCCATTGGCATTTTTTGGTGGACTGGTTGGATCGAACCAGCTTGGGAAAGGATTTGAATTTGTTTGGAAGAAGTTTTGGATGAGTGGGCCAAGCGACCACTTCACACATCCGCTCTCAGCGTCAGACCAAACGCATCAGACGTTACCACCTCCGGTCAAAATAGTTGCGAATGTCCGACTCCACAGACTTTCACTCAGATTTATTTCAGTGCAACGGCAGTTTTTCGAATTGGTTTGTGAGTTGATGTTTTTGCCACCCGTTTCTGTTTTAGTTTGTTTCTTGAGGTCCTTTTTTGACCTTCGCGTAGATGTTTTTGCGCACGCGCTTGTTGGCTCCGCCACTTCACTCGGTCCCCTGTTTGTTTGCACGTGCTGTGGCAAACAGTGATTTGCTGCTGTTTTGCCTTCTTTCTCTGTGAAAGCTGCGTGAGTTTACTGCTTGAGAGCTACTTGAGTATTTCTGACACAAGTGAGATATTTTTGATATGCATCTGTTTTGCCTTCTTTCTCTGTGAAAGCTGCTTGAGCTTACTGCTTGAGAGCTACTTGAGTATTTCTGACACAAGTGAGATATTTGTGATTTGCTGCTGTTTTGCCTTCTTTCTCTGTGAAAGCTGCGTGAGTCTACTGCTTGAGAGCTACTTGAACATTTCTGACACAAGTGAGACCTTTGTGATATGCATCTGTTTTGCCTTCTTTCTCTGTGAAAGCTGCTTGAGCTTACTGCTTGAGAGCTACTTGAGTATTTCTGACACAAGTGAGATATTTGTGATATGCTGCTGTTTTGCCTTCTTTCTCTGTGAAAGCTGCGTGAGTTTACTGCTTGAGAGCTACTTGAGTATTTCTGACACAAGTGAGACATTTGTGATATGCATCTGTTTTGCATTCTTTCTCTGTGAAAGCTGCGTGAGTTTACTGCTTGAGAGCTACTTGAATATTTCTGACACAAGTGAGACATTTGTGATCTGCATCTGTTTTGTCTCTTTCTCTGTGCAAGCTGCGTGAGTTTGCTGCTTGAAAGCTACCTGAATATTTCTGACACTAGCGAGACATTTGTGATATGCATTTGTTGTGCCTTCTTTCTCTGTGAAAGCTGCGTGAGTTTACTGCTTGAGAGCTACTTGAGTATTTCTGACACAAGTGAGATATGTGAGATATGTTTGATATGCATCTGTTTTGTTTTCTTTCTCTGTGAAAGCTGCGTGAGTTTACTGCTTGAGAGCTACTTGAGTATTTCTGACACAAGTGATTTTTTGTGATATGCATCTGTTTTGCCTTCTTTCTCTGTGAAAGCTGCGTGAGTTTACTGCTTGAGAGCTGCTTGAGTATTTCTGACACACGTGAGATATTTGTGATATGCGTCTGTTTTGTCTTCTTCATCTGTGAAAGCTGCGTGAGTTTACTGCTTGAGAGCTATTTGAGTATTTCTGACACAAGTGATTTTTTGTGATATGCTTCTGTTTTGTATTCTTTCTCTGTGAAAGCTGCGTGAATTTACTGCTTGAGAGCTACTTGAGTATTTCTGACACAAGTGAGATATTTCTGATATGCTTCTGTTATGTCTTCTTCCTCTGTGAAAGCTGTGTGAGTTTACTGCTTGAGAGCTGCTTCAGTATTTCTGACACAAGTGCGATATTTGTGATTTGCTGCTGTTTTGCTTTCTGTCTCTGTGAAAGCTGCGTGAGTTTACTGCTTGAGAGCTACTTGAGTATTTCTGACACAAGTGAGATATTTTTTGTGCTGCCTTCTTTCTCTGTGAAAGCTGCGTGAGTTTACTGCTTGAGAGCTACTTGAGTATTTCTGACACAAGTGAGATATTTTTGATATGCTGCTGTTTTGCTTTCTTTCTTTGTGAAAGCTGCGTGAGTTTACTGCTTTAGAGCTACTTGAGTATTTCCGACACAAGTGAGATATTTTTGATATGCTTCTGTTTTGCCTTCTTTCTCTGTGAAAGCTGCGTGAGTTTGCTGCTTGAGAGCTACTTAAATATTTCTGACACAAGCTTTCTCTGTGAAAGCTGCGTGAGTTTACTGCTTGAAAGCTACTTGAGTATTTCTGACACAAGTGAGATATTTTTTGTGCTGCCTTCTTTCTCTGTGAAAGCTGCGTGAGTTTACTGCTTGAGAGCTGCTTGAGTATTTCTGACACAAGTGAGATATTTTTGATTTGTTGCTGTTTTGCCTTCTTTCTCTGTGAAAGCTGCAAGAGTTTATTGCTTGAGAGCTACTTGAGTATTTCTGACACTAGCGAGACTTTTGTGATATGCATCTGTTTTGCCTTCTTTCTCTGTGAAAGCTGCTTGAGTTTACTGCTTGAGAGCTACTTGAGTATTTCTGACACATGTGAGATATTTGTGATTTGCTGCTGTTTTGCCTTCTTTCTCTGTGAAAGCTGCGTGAGTTTACTGCTTGAGAGCTACTTGAGTATTTCTGACACAAGTGATTTTTTGTGATATGCATCTGCTTTGCCTTCTTTCTCTGTGAAAGCTGCGTGAGTTTACTGCTTGAGAGCTGCTTGAGTATTTCTGACACATGTGAGATATTTGTGATATGCTTCTGTTTTGTCTTCTTCCTCCTGTGAAAGCTGCGTGAGTTTACTGCTTGAGAGCTACTTGAGTATTTCTGACACAAGTGATTTTTTGTGATATGCATCTGTTTTGCCTTCTTTCTCTGTGAAAGCTGCGTGAGTTTACTGCTTGAGAGCTACTTGAGTATTTCTGACACATGTGAGATATTTGTGATATGCTTCTGTTTTGTCTTCTTCCTCTGTGAAAGCTGCGTGAATTTACTGCTTGAGAGCTACTTGAGTATTTCTGACACAAGTGATTTTTTGTGATATGCATCTGTTTTGCCTTCTTTCTCTGTGAAAGCTGCGTGAGTTTACTGCTTGAGAGCTGCTTGAGTATTTCTGACACATGTGAGATATTTGTGATATGCTTCTGTTTTGTCTTCTTCCTCCTGTGAAAGCTGCGTGAGTTTACTGCTTGAGAGCTACTTGAGTATTTCTGACACAAGTGATTTTTTGTGATATGCATCTGTTTTGCCTTCTTTCTCTGTGAAAGCTGCGTGAGTTTACTGCTTTAGAGCTACTTGAGTATTTC